ATAGATATTCAAAATTGTGATGTCCTCTTGGTGGATTTTTCCTTTGATGAGAATATAGTGGCCGTCCTTATCTTTTTTGATTAACTTGGGTTGAAAGTCTATTTTATTAGATATTAGGATGGCTATTCCCACTTGTTTTCTGGAACCATTTGCTTGAAAGACATTTTTCCAGCCCTTTACTCTGAGGTAGTGTTTATCTTTGTTGCATAGGTGTGTTTCTTGGATGCAACAGAATGATGGATCCTGTTTCCGCAACCATTCTGTTAGTCTGTGTCTTTTAATTGGGGAGCTGAGTCCGTTGATGTTGATAGAAACTAGTGACCAACAATTGTTACTTACTTTAGATGTGGTGTTGGTGGTGTCACTGAGTTTTATTTCTTGTTTTCTTTTTTTTTTCTTTTTTTTTTTTTTTGTTGTGTAGTTATCTATTTCCTCTGTTTCCTTCGATGTAGTTGTTTTCTTTGGTTTGGAGTTTCCCTTCTAGTAACTTCTGTAGAGCTGGGTTACTATGTAGATATTGTTTAAATTTGGTTTTGTCTTGGAATATCTTGAATTCTCCGTCTATGTTGATTGAAAGTTTTGCTGGGTATAGTAGTCTGGGTTGGAATCTGTGGTCCCTTAAGGACTGTATGATTTCTGTCCAGGCCCTTCTGGCTTTCATAGTTTCTGTTGAGAAATCTGGTGTGATTCTGATAGGTCTACCTTCATATGTTACTTGGCCTTTTTCCCTTGCTGCTTTTAGAATTTTTTCTTTGTTTTGTACGTTCAGTGTTTTGACTATGATGTGACGTGAAGAATTTCTTTTCTGGTCTAGTCTACTTGGTGTTCTGTAGGCCTCTTGTATGTTTATGGCCATCTTCTTCTTTAAGTTGGGAAAGTTTTCTTCTATAATTTTCTTGAAAATATTTCCTGGACCTTTGAGCCTGATGTCTTCTTTTTCTTCTACTCCTATTATTCTTAGGTTTTGTCTTTTCATGGTGTCCTTGATTTCTTGGATGTTTTGTGTTTGGAACTTTTCTGATTTTATTTTTTCTTTGAGAGACGTGTCAATTTCCGCAAGTGTATCTTCGGCTCCTGAGATTCTTTCTTCCATCTCTTGTATTCTGTTGGTGATTCTTACCTTTGTAGTTCCTGATCTTTTCTCTATGTTCTCCAGCTCCTGGTTTTTCTCTATTTGTATTTTCTTTATTGATTCTAATTCTGTTTTCATGTCTTGCACCATTTCCTTCATCTGTTTGAATGTGGACTCCTGCTTTTCAATGATAGCTTCTATTTTTTTGTCCGTTTCCTCTCTATGTATCACTAATTGTGCCTCTACTTCTTTGGGTATAATTGCCTGTATTTCTATGAGAGCTTTGTTTATTTCCTCTTTATTTGCCTTCATTTGTGTGGACATTTCTTTGAGAGCTTTGTGCATTTCTTCTCTGTTTGCCTCAATTTTCGTGGTCATTTCTCTGAGAGCATGATTTGTTTCCTCTTGGTTAGTCTCGATTTCTTTGGTTATTTCTTTGAGGGCTTTGTTCATTTCATCTTTATTTGCCTCCAATAGCTGGAGAAACATAGTTTTGAGGTCGTTTTCTTGTATATCTAGTGAATTGAAGTGTCCATTGTTTTGTGGGGTTGCTGGTGAGGTCATTATGTCCTGATTTTTGTTGGGAGTGTTCTTACATCTGCCTCTAGCCATCTGGTTATTTATAATCCTCACTGGTTGTTCCTCGAGCTTGTAGTTTGGGCTATGATCCTCTTTCTGTTTTCTGGACTGTTTTTTCAGGAAGATGAGAGAGGTTCACTGCTTTGGGAGTGTGCACTGTGTTTTCAGTTTTGCCTAAGTAAGGAATGTGACGCTGGCGCTATTCGCGTGCGCTTTTAGCGGGCGCAGTGTGCATGCGCGGATTGTCTGACTATTGCAGTGGCCTGCAAGCCACTATTACGCAGTTCTGACTGAGATCCAGGGATTGTTTGCCTGGATTACCCTGGTGGACCCGCAAGGCAGAGGCTTCAATGTTGGGGTCGCTATCCAAAGAATCCCTATGATGCCCACACTAGGGGTGTGGGTGGCAGGGATCTCGTCTGGTTGCTTCTGTGGAGAGGCCCTGGGTCTGGGGCAATCTCTCCCTAGAAGGCTCACTCACTCTCTTGCAGGACCAGTTGGAATGCACAGGGGTTCCCCTTGCTCACTACTCTCTGTTTTGGTCCTGCTGTGGAAGTGCACGGGTAGGCTAACAGTCAGCTCTGTGACACTGTGGCTGCAGGACTTGGTGTCCAATTTTCCTGTGTGCTGCCTCTTTGTCCTTTCCCTCTGCCAGGAGGGGTTATGTTGACTGGTCCCTGGGTGGCACGGGAAAGAGTTAGGATGAGTGTACTCAATCCCAGATCCTGGGCCCAGATCTCTCTGCCAGAAGCAGCCTAGCGGTAGAATCTATGTTTGTTGATCCCAAGAGAGTACTCGGTAGGGTTGAGTGTCCTCAGATCCAGAACTTGGGTTTCTCTGCTAGGGGCCGCTGGGTGAGCTGGAGAGAGGGTGCTATGTCCTTGGCAGGCTGCCTCTCTGACCTTCCCCTCTGCTAGGGCAAGCTTATGGAAGTGCTCTCAGGAGAGTGCCAGCAGGGGTTGGGGCTTCTCAGTTGGATCCTGAGCCCTGAGCCGGCCTTTCTCTGCCAGGGGTCGGGGGGGGGGGGGGCGCCGGTGATAGAACTTGCTGCTAGACCTTATTGCACTGGACCCAGGAGAATCTCAGGACGTGTAGAATGACCACAGTCCCAGATCCCGAGCTGTAGTTTGTTTGCTAGGAGCGGCAGGCAGCACTGGAGTTCTGGCACTGTGAAGCCGCTGTGAGCCTCTTTATCCTTCCGCTCTGCTGCGGCAGGGTTATGGCGGCGTTTGGGGGAGTGCCCGAAAGGATTGGGTTTTCTCAGCCCTGATTTCGGGTTGGGGTACAGACAATGTGGTCTGTGGCAGATTCTGCTGGACGCCTCCTGCCTCCTCCGAAGAGGGAGTAGGGATTTTGAGCTGGGCGCTCAGCTGCGCAGCTGTAATCCGTGCGTGGAGGGAGCTCAGTTGTGATGGCGGCAGGTACCCATGGTCGGAGAGACCTTCCAGGGAAAGACTGGGTGACCCGTGACCAGTCTGGCAACTTTCCTTCCCCGTGGGGTTTTTTTTTTTGCGACTGGGACTCCCAGCCTCAGGCACCCTTGTGCCCACTGATCAGCCTGGGGAAGTGATCGGGACAAGCAGGCTTGCGGCACCAGCCCGGAGACCCAAAGCCCGAGTTAGCCGGGTTCTCTTCCGGGTTCTGGCTGGGCAGCCGAGAGTGGACCCGACCGATTCCCACACCGTGAGAGCCTCCCCTCACCTGGGAAACACGATCGATCGCTGTTGTTTTAGGGCCCAGAGTTCAGTCTCCTGGTCGCTGCATGGAGTGTGTTGTCCCGCTTCTCAGACATGGTGTTCTCCCGGTGCCACCATCTTGGCCCCTCCAATGCTATTTTTTTAACAGCTGAGTAATACTCATTGTGTAAATGTACCACATTTTATCTATTCTTGAGTTGAGGGACATCTAGCTTGTTTCAGTTTCTGGATATCATGAATAAAGCTGCTACACACATATGAGTACTGGGTCTTGAGGTAGATCAATTTCCAATTTTCTGAGAAACTGCCATACTGATTTCCATAATGGCTATACAAGTTCATATACCCACCATCAATGGAGAAGTGTTCCTCTTGCTCCATTTCTTTGACAGCATGAACTGTCACTTATATTTTTGATCTTAGCTATTCTGACAGGTATAAGATGGAACTTCAGAGTTGTTTTGATTTGCATTTCCTTAATGGTTGAGGATGTTGAACATTTTTTTTAAAGTGCTTCTTGGCCATTTGAGATTCTGTTGAGATTCTCTGTTTAAATCTGTACCACATTTTTAAGTTGGATTATTTGGTGTTTTTTTTTTTTGATATCTAGCTTCTTGAGTTCTTTATACATTTAGGATATCACCCTTCTATCAGATGTAGGGTGGGTGAAAATGTTTTACCTTCCTCTAGGTTTTGTCTTTTGCTAGTGTCTTTTGTTTTACAGAAGCTTTTCAGTTTCATGAGGTCCCATTTATTAATTGTTTATCTCTGTTTGTGTCATTGGTGTTCTGCTCAGGAAGTTGGCTCCCATACCAAATTATTCAAGTCTATTCCCCACTTTCTTTTCTATCAAGTTCAGTATATCTGGTTTTATGTTGAAGTCTTTGATCCACTTGGACTTGAGTTTTGTGCTGGGGTTTTAAGTGCCAGTGTGGTTTCTGGTAGACCAGTGGGCTTCTGAGAGAGTTGTGGGCTGGAATATGGAGACAAGGGGTGGAGGTGCTGCTGGGAAAACTGGGCAGGCTGCTGAAGTTGTGGGCCAGGGTATGGAGATGAGGGAAGATGGGTGCTGTTTGGGAAACTGCTTCACTCATAATTTAGACAACTGATCTCTCAATATCGCTGATTCCATTCCTCCTTGTTGAAAACTGAACACCCCCCCCCCCAGTTTACCTGTTGGTTTCTTATACATGACATCTAAAACCATAGCAACAGACTTTACATAGTTTGTCTCGTAGGCTGATATCTGTATATCCCTAATGCATATATTAAAATTTAGCTTAGAAAACTCAGGGGTGCCAGTGTACAAACTGACTAGCAATTTTGGAGGCTGGCCCTCTCTAGCGGTCTCACAAATTCTATGCTTCCTCACTACAGCTAGAAGCCCTCACTGCCCTTTAACAGCCTAGTCAAATGCTGCCATTCAGCCAGCCTTGTGCTGTGCTACCCAAACTTCTTGTTGCGTCACTGACAGAGTCAATTGTGCCCATCTTTGTGCTTCTTCTGTGTTTTCTTCCCCTACGTACTGCCCTGGATCAGCAAAAACAGATTTGTTTTTATTTTTTTCTCTCTTTCTGAGGCTAGCAGTTTGCTTATCCATGAAGTCAAGAACTACACCATGTTCATATCTGCCACAAATGGAGCCTTGGACATTTCCGATGCTCAATTTATTAAATGATTGAATGACTGACAGAGAAAAGTTTAGATGATGAAATAGCTATTTTTTTCACCCTGTGAACTCCCCTAGGCAGGCAATCCATGGATGTGTGTCCACCAAGGCTGTGGTAAAGGCTCATGTGTCCTGACAGGACATCTTTGTTTAAATCCATTTCAATCTCCCTAGAGAGCAGGTAGGATTTGTCAGGGTGAACTGAAGCAGGAGTCCACAATATAAGCCATAAGAAAGACATTTCCCCCAGTTTGTCAGGAAAGGAAGACCCTGGCTTACAGGAGCCTAGGCAGGAGAGAATGTCACATGGAAGATTCTTCTAGAATCTTCAGCTTCATTTATTTGGGGTCTTGAGCTCCATTGGAATAACTTGGTACTGGGTTTGATGGTTCTGGGAAGACCACTGTGTTTGTTGCATAGACATTTGGGATGACCACGGGTACCTGAAAAACAAAGGCACACAGTAGGTCCACAGTGCACTAAGGCTGGAGTAGTCCTCCGGAGGCTTGTTGCTGGAAGCCAACATTCCAACATGGTGCTGCTGAGGTGAAGGAACCAGTAAGAGGTGAGGTCTGGTGGCTGTTGATCAGGCTGTGGGTACCACTTTCATGGATGGATCTACGCTTGACTCAGGGAGCAGGCTAGTTTTCACAGGATGCCGTGATAAAGCGAGGGTAGCTCACATGCTTGAACCTTTCTAAGACGGGGCACTTCCTTTTCCTTTTCTGCTGTGTTATATGACTCAGGGAGAGAGAGCCCCTGCTCTGAGTCCCCTGGGGCAATGCTCTTTAGATACTCCAGATACTAGAGCTGAGAGGCAAGTAAACCTCTTTATTTTATAAAGTACCCAGCCTAGTGATAACAACAGACAGTAGACTAACATACCTCATTAAGGAAGGCTAATTAGAGACAAACACCAAGACCTGTAGGTATTTTTTCACTTCCTCCTCTTTAGCAGGAACAAGATCTATCATTTTGGAGTATATTTCCACCCACAAAGGAGCCCCAGGACTCACATTGTTGTAGTTACAGCAGGTCACCTGGCAGCCAAAGTGGGAAGACACACTGGCAATGCTGAGCTCCAAGAGGCAGAAGATGAGCAGTGTACTTGAAATAGCCACGGCTGTACCCTGGAATCAGAAGAAATCTAGAGGGCTTTAGTGCTGGGCCAAGCATTTGACGAGACTATGCAGTGGGCCATCTGTCTGGCCTTGACAAAGTCTCACTCCCTGAGCCTTATTGGGGCAAACATCCTCCAGGTCTTTGTGGGGCTAAAGCGTGGGTGGAAAATTGTTATTTTATCATCCACTGCAATACCCTTTATGGGAAAGAGATTCAGTGGTTAAGGAAATGCCAAAAATGCTTGCATCAGGAGTAATTTCTTAGTAAAATGGGATGAGCAGAGAATACACACGATCTTTCTTGTCAAAGGGATCAGGCTGGATGCCATGCTGAAGAGAACTTTGAGGAGGCCAGGGTAGCAGGGGGTGGGTGTCAGGTGAAGGAGCAGGGAGAGGCTGTTTCAGTGTCTGAGGAGAGAGATGCAGTGGTAAGGGCCAACTCTGCGGTGGAGAAGGTGGAAAACATGGTCAGATTCTAGGTGCATTTCCACAGAAGAACCAGTTGGATTCTGTAAGGAACCAGCTGTGGTGTGAGAGAAGAATATAGTTAGTTCTTCTTTGGAAATTCACCTGCCTTCTTCCCACACCCTCCTTACCCCAGTTTTGTCTCCAGCAACTGAATGATGGAGTTGCTTTGTGAGATGGAAAAAAACAAAAGTGTGCTTATGTGCTGATAGAAAATCTCTAAGAAAATGGAGGGGATGGTTAGAAGGGAGAAGGGGGTGGTGCTGTGGTCCTTTGGTAGGTTGAGAGAACATGTCCAAAGCTGTCTATTTATTTAGCTCAGGGTCACAGTCCCCTGTGGCTGCTGAGGCCCAAACTGAGATGTGTTGTTAGTGTAAAACATAACTTAGATTTCAAAGGGCTACCACTCAAAATGAAAATATCCCTGACCCTTCTTATACCTAAACTGAATGTGGCCCTGCCCTCATTTCTCCCACATCTTCCCACATTAGTAAGAATTCTTCCTCCCTTCTTGGAAATGTAAAGCCCTTTCCGTTCCTTTTGCCACATTTTTATGCAGTGAACTGCAGCCTCCTCCCTTCCCCCAAGACCTCTAAGACTGACCCTCTATTCTGCTACATGAGCCTAAAAGATTCCCAAACTCTCTATTGTGCTGTCTGTCTGTGCATTAATCACTCTTCCTAGGCCCTCTCATCTACTGAGAGCTGGAGCTGAGTCTCCACTATAGCGGACAAAGCCTGCATCAGAGCCTGTCTCTACAGGTCCAGACCTCCCTCAGTCATCATTTCTTCTTTTAAGAGTATATGATTAAAAAAAAATGAGTTGCATTTTTAATGTGGCAAGAGGAGGATTTGAAATTATATATGCAGCCCATATTCTGCTTCTGTTAGACGATGCTGGTTGCTAGTACAGGTGAGAAAGTGACAGTTGTTGGAGCTGATCCTATTGTTGTCGAAGGCACTAATTTACTGTTTTCTATGGACGCTAAAGACCTGCTGCATCTTGACAGGAATTGTATGTCCTACAAAGCCCAAAAGCCCATCCGGCTCTGCAGAAAAAGTTTGTTCGGATCTGGCAGTCCTAGCCTCCCCCTATGATGGGCTGTTGTAGGTCCTGGTCTTGTGTACATCCTAACATTTGCAAGAAAATGTCTGCAACTAGAAGTCATTATGTTAAGAGAAATAAGCAGGATTCAGCAAGATGAATGGTGCATGCTTTGTCTCATATGTGGAACCTAGATTTTAGTGTGTGTGTGTGTATGTGTGTGTGTGTGTGTGTGTGTGTTCGTGTTGTAGGTCACAACATTAGAAGAGGGATCATGGGAAGGGAGGAAAACATCATAGAGGAGGTGGGGAATGGAAAGATGTTTTGTGTTTGCTATCACTGGCTGCTTTTGCTGATGGCCTAGGTGTAGTTCCCAGCACTCACATGGTGGCTCAGGAGACCCAAGGGACTCTTCTGACCTCCATGGGAACCAGGCATATGTGTAGTACACAGATGTACATGTGGGCAAAACACTTGTATGCACAGGATAAAAAAATCTTAAAAAATAAAAAACTAGAAATAAAGCAGAAGCTTTGACTTATTGGTATATGTTGGGGGGAGGGAACCAATGGAAGGTGGAGGTTGGACGGGGTGGGGGGGGGGGAAGGGATAGTACAGAAAGGGAACAGCTGAGGAGGGTGACAGGTATGTGTCACGATGAAACCCAGAGCTTTGTAGTAAAAACTAAAAAACTAAACAAAAAGTCTTCAAAGGAGAAACAAATGTTTTTTGAACCCCGGTCCACATAGCAGGCAGGAAATCTGAGGCCATGGAGGGCTGCTAATGCACTGTTATCTGTGCTCATTATGTTGATTTTTTTTTCCCCCTCAGGGCTACAAGGCAGGTACAATTTTACAAAGGCAGTAAGAGCTGAGGACTTTAAATCCTGTCCTGACTCCCTAGAGCACTTCCTTTTCTTCCAGTGCTCACTGGAAAGGCTTGGTTGCCAGGCCCTTTCTAGCATGGTCTGAACATAGCGGAATGAAGGCAGAGCTCTTCGGTTGAGGACACTTACCGTACCCCAGTTGTACTGGTTGGGGTAATCACCGGGGTACACATATGATCTCGAGAGGCAGATGTCCACGATGAAGAGTATGATGCCCACTGCAGAACAGATGGCGCTGAAGATGTTCAAGCCCACACTGCCATTCAGCTGGGAAAGACACACGGGGTCAAGGTGGGAAAGGAAGATGAGCGTAGCTCAGACCTGCAGGATCAACAAAGCACCCCTTCCCCTTCCGTGCTGCGTTCGCATAGACGGCACATAACCACATAACCTTTACCGTCACAACCATTTATAAAAGTCAGAGTTCGGCGGTATGAAGCGCTTTATGATTCTGGACTGTGCACAGAAAGGTGTGTCCAGGTGTGTTAAACTTCTCTTACTGGATATTTTCTAACAGAGCTCCTCTGATTGTAGGACTCCTGTTGACCAGGAGACAGTTACTCTGGGCAACCTGCTCATCAAGGAAGCAGAGCTGTTGGTCCATTTCTGGGGAGGCACAAAAAGCTCTGTCCACGTGGGTCGGATTTGTTGGTGCAGCAGGTGTTTGGGACCTTTACTGGCCCCTGCAGGAATGGCTGGACACCTGCTCTACATGCTGTGGGCACGCACAGTTCCTTGTTCTGTGTAGTATGTCTCTGGTACCCGGGAGCTTTGTTTCTCCTCCATTGAAGGCCTCCTTCGCAAGCTAGTCCTTTCTCCTGCTGGCTTTCTTCTCATTCTGTCACCTCAACAGTGGTGGCACCATTGTCCGTTCCCTATATAAGTCGCCTGCGTGTGTGGCCTGCATGCGAGAGTTAGCCTTCCTGAGCGTGCCCTATGTCCCTTTCTTAGTGGTGTAAGAGTAAGGGAAGGGTTGCCTTTTGGTCATATTTTCCACTGTGACACTGTAGGTCCCCAGCTAAGACAGACAGCCTCAGAATATGACTTACCAGGCAAGGGGAATTGGCTTGAGTTTCTGCTGACACCGAGAAAGATCCTGAAATGATAAACTTGTGCACAAGATTGGGAACTTAGCAAGGGTTAGGTACCAGGATACCCTCTCTTCCTTAGAAATCTGGTTCTGAGAGTGCATACATTCTCCCGCATACAGAATTACTTATGTAGATGCCAGATCTACCATGGTAGATAACGTGTGTGCAGACTTGCCAAGGGACAGGGCAGTATTGGGATAATCAGGATTTTAGGATTCACCAGAATAGGTTTTAAAATTTGGTTTGAAACCCGGTGAGTCACTTAATTTCTCTGAGTCTTTATTTCCTCATCTGAAAAAAAAATGTGAACATTCATATCCTTTTAGGCATCATTGTTATAACTTATGTTTCACATTCACTGTGTATCGTTTAGAGCAGTCAATCGACATTAGCCCATTTCCCACTGTTCATTTACACATGTTCACCATCTGTTGCTTTCCAGGTTTTCTCTCAGGATTCATGAGGTGTGGGGCTCTGGAGGGAAGAGGGAAGGGTATGACTGCTCTGCTGTGTTCTTATGGTTCTGCAGGCTGATGAGACTGTGGGAATTGCAATGTGCCAGTCTGTTGTATTATTGTTGTTTGGGAAAGGTTGACATTGGTTGACTTTTAAGGTCATTTGGGAGTTTAGATATTTATGGGAAAACTTGTATTTGAGTTATAGGTAGGTGATAAAAAACAGAGAAAAAAAAAGTTGGAGAGGGGCAGAGTAGTGTGTGTGTGTGTGTGTGTGTGTGTTGGGACAGTACCAGGAAAAGAATGAGAGTGTCCAAAGGCAATAAACAGACATGGAGGAAGGATTAACATTTTTGTGGAGTCACAGATCACCTTGAGAATCTAATAAAAGCCATGTATCATTTTCTTTGTGAGTTAAATGCTGCTGTTTCCAGGTTGATGATCTGGAAGAAATACCTTGGTCTTTGGTGGGTACAGCCCTGTAGGGCTATAACTTTATCTGTGATCCCCAGGTTTTTTTTTTTTATGTAACATTTAATTTTAATGTTTCAAAAATTATGGAATGTTTTGCCCCAGATATAATGTGTTAGTCATGCGTGATCTCCAGTTTTATATTTTCAAATACCTAACCCTAGAACCTCAGACTGTGACAATAGACAGGGTTTTATATGTAGCCCTGGCTGGCCTGGAGCTCCATATATGGACCTGACTGGACTTGAACTCACAGAGATCCTCCTGTTTCTGCCTTCAGAGTGTTCTATTATGCCCAGCAGTTAGCATTCTTATGAGTGGAGGTTAGCAATAAAAATGGATGAACTAGAAATTATCATGTTAAGTGAAATAAATAAAAATCTAAATTTCTCATAGGCAGATTGTGGTGTGTGTGTGCGTGTGTGTGAAAGCCAAGAAGCGATCATAAGGCTGATGGCAAATGAAAGCGACAGAATACCCTGTGACATGAGAGCAGAAGGGGAGTGTGATGAATTGTCAACCTGACATTCCCTAGATCATCTGGGAAGACAGTCTCAATGAGCGCTTGTCTACATCTGTTTGACCTGTGGATGTGTCTGGGGAGGATTAACTTAAGTTAATTGATATGGGGAGCAAAAAGTCACTGTGGGCAGCACCGTTCTTCAGGCGGGGTTCCTGACTGTGTCAGAGTTGAGAAACTGAGTTGAGCACAAGCAAGCACAGAAAGTGAGCTGCATGCGTTCATTTCTCTTTGCTCTTGACTATGGCTCTGGTGTGACTAGCTCTTTCAAGTTCCCCCCACCTTGACTTCTCTGCAATAAAGCACTGTAGCCTGGAGTTATAAAGTAAAACAAACCCTTTCTTCCCCTTTGTTGTTTTGTAAGGGTATTTTTATTAAGGAATAGAAATTAAACAAACAAACAAACAAACCAGGGAGGTATTGAGGGAAGGAAGGGGTCAAGTGGGAGGGAAGCAGGGGAGCAAGGGAGGGAAGTGCCAGCGAGAAGACAAATAAGAACAAAGTGTGAGTGAAACTGCAGTGATGAACCCGCTCCTTTGTATGCCAGTTTAAAGCGACAACAAAGAGGTTAGGAAATGAGACAGGCACTAACACAAAGGGAAGACACCAGGCGAAGATGGCTAACTGTAAGGTCAGAGAGACCTCAGTGGAGGCTACAAGCTGACAAGCTGGTCTTGGGTGTCTGGCTTTCCGAACTGGGAGAGAACACAGTTGGAAGCTGGGAGCTTCGTAGTCTATGGCACTGTGTTCCCAACTCCTTCTCCAGCTCAGATATTTGAGCAAACACCTCCAGATTCCCCGACAGCTTGATGAGGCTACCCTGAGCATCGGACTGGAGCTACTCACCCAGATGCCTCCCCAGAAGGGGAAACCTCCGTAGAGGGAGATAGGCACAAAATTGCCGTAGAGGTTGGTGAACATGATGGATCCCAGGCCAATGTGCACCAGGCCAATCAGGATCTGGATGGCCTGTCAGGAGAGCCACAAGCTGAAGCCGTCGCCTTTGAGCCCTGATCTTGCCTTTATTTTTGTACTTCCTTTATATTTTAATACTAATTTGGTTTCCCTGGTCTAAAAGATAATGTGAGAAACATAATAATAAAATTAAAGCTATCCGTAATAACCCCCACCTCTTCTATTATTCTTCAAGCATGTATCTTGGTAACATAGAAACGGTGTCTCTGCACCTTATTAACTTAATGCTTCATCATGAGCATATCTTGGGTCATTAAATTTTCTTGGCGTGTGTGTGTGTGTGTGTGTGTTTATTGCATGCATGTGTGCATACATGTGCATATGTGTGTGTATGTGTGTGTGAGTGGAAGCTAGAAATTGACGTCAGTCGCTTCCCATCCTGTTTTTTCTGAGACAGGAGTGCTCATCATACCTGGAGCTCACCAATAGGCTAACATGGCTGGCCAGCACTCTCCAGGGATCCTCTTGTCTCCATCTCCCCAGGGCTGGTATTACGGGCTTGTGCTGTCATACCTAGTTTTTACGTGGTTACTTGAGGTCTGAACCCAGGTCCTTATGTTAGTGTGGCAGACACTTTGTTAACGTAGCCACTTCCCCACTCACTAGCTCTGTCAGAATATTTTCTAGGGGTATCCTGGAGTCTCGGGGCATAGTTGTAACACTGATGTGGAAGGGGTGAGGTGACCACTAGTATTTTATATCATACACAGTCTTCTGTTCAGCTATATAATTTTTTTTGCCTGCATACTTCCTTGCTTTACCACCAAATTCAGGTATTGATGTTCTAGTTTCTCTGAATATGACTTTAGAGATATTGCTGATGTCATGGCTCAAGAGGAGGTTATGCTGGGATAGGGTGAGCCTCAGTCCAATATTACCAGAGCCATTACTTTAAAAAAAAGTTATGAAAATTCAGAACTCTGACTCCAAGGCCTACCCCAAGAGACAGAATAAAACGAACAGCCATGTGAGAACTAAAGTGATGATATATCAAGATAAGGACCTACTAGGAAGTAGGAGGAAGATTGGGAAGAGATCATTCCTTCATGCCTTCAGTGGGACTCTGATCTTGGTTATCTGTTCTCCAGAACTGTGAGAAAATGCATCTCTGCTCTTCTTGGCCATCAGTTTATTGTACTTTATTATAGCAGCCATTAGAAGCTAATACAGATACTGTCCTGTATGCATGTGTGTGTGTGTGTCCTGCAGGCATGACACAAAAAGCATTTATTTTGTTTACTTAGGTTCATACTAGTGGTACATTAATGACATATGTTGGAGCAAGACCCAGTCATTGCACAAAGAGCTTCCTTGTTCTCTTCATAGTTCCATAACATTCTTTATGTTATAAGCACAACACAGTGGTTTGACTAGTGTTAAGCTGATGGATAGTGCGCTGGTTAGTTTTAACTATAAACTTGACACAACCTAGAACCACCCGGGAAGACAGTCTTAACAAAGAACTGTCTACATTAGGTTAGACCATGGGGATGCCTGAGTGGGACTGTCTCCATTGCTGACCCATGTAGGAAGACCCAGTTCATTGCGACCAGCACTATTTCCTAGAAGGGGGTCCTGAACTATATAGGATAGAAGAGAGCAATATGAGAGCAAGAAGGCAGCGTAGATATGTTTGGTTCCCTCTGCTCTTGACTGTGGATGTGATGTAACCTCTTCAAATTTCTGTTTGGACTTCCTTGCTAACCTGGAACTGTAAGCCAGACAAACTTCTTCCTCCCATCTGTTGCTTTTCATCAGTGTTTACCACAGCAACAGAGACAGAGCTGGAATAGTTTGGTTGCTTCCATCCTCTGTCTTTGTAAGCAACGAGGCAGCAAATAAGCGTATATGGACACATTTCTTGTGTATATTGGTATATTTGGGGGATAAAGTCTCAGAAATGGACCATTGGGTGTTTTTTTTTTAAACATATATATATATATATATATATATATATATATATATAGTCTCTTTTTAGAATTCCCCAAACAAGATTAGAGCACGAGCTGGGACTGGAACATAGGCAGTCTGAATCTCAGTCAACGCTTGTCGTTCAGGGCTATGCAATGAAATGGGCTCCCTTGTACTCTCCAGGCCAGCCTTTCAGGAACTGCTGCTTCCCTCGCCTGCTTTCCTTCTTTCTGCTTTGGGCAAAGGCTTGATTCAGCAACCCTGGGCTCCATTACATCTTTGGGAAACTTTGTCCTTGTTGGACTTTCTTTCTTCCCAAACTATCGGAAGCAAATATATAGAGGCAAAAGGTTCTACATTCAAGAACACTGCTTTTTGGTTTATTCTTTTTTCCTAAACACCCAGATCAGAAACTTCAAAGCTGAGGCTCCTTGTGATGCAGAGATTGTCAACAGACCTGGGTTTGGCTAAGCCAGCACCACCTGCTTTATTTAAAGTTTCTTTTCTTTCTTTTTTTTTTGTATGTATGTATTCATGCAAGCATTTGTGTGTATATGTGCATGCATGTGTATTTATATGTGTGTGTGTTCATTGGGTGTGTGGATCCTGCATTTGTGTGTGTATGCATGTGTGAGGCCATGTATGGTAAGGCTAACATCTATGTTGGGTATCATCATTCCACAAGAACCATTTATTTTCTTTGTTGTTGTTATTTTTAGAGACAAGGTCCCTCGCTAGCCTAGAACTCACCAGGTAAGCTAAGCTAGCTAGACAGATTGCTGCAGGGATCTACCCATTTTTGCCTTCCTGTTTCTGTTTCCACAGCCAGCTTACGTAAGGTGGGTTCTGGGGATGGCGCTCAGCTTGCAGACACTTCATTAAACACTTTACCAACTGAACTATCCTATTCCCTGGCCCCATATTTGGACTTCTTATTTGTTTATCTCATGTCTCTGCTTTCCTCTCTCTGTAGTGTGTGGCCTCTGGCTCACCAACTGGACTTTTTTTAATTAAATTTTTATTTTTATATTAATTACAGTTTACTCATTTTGTATCCCAGCTGTAGCTCCCTCCCTCATTTCTTCCCAATCCCACTCTCCCTCCCTCATCTTATCCCATGCCTCTCTCCAAGTCCACTGATAGGGGAGGTCCTCCTCCCCTTCCATCTGACCCTAGCCTATCAGGTGTCATCAGGACTGGCTGTATTGTTCAAATAGACTTTTACTTACCCCTAGGACTTGGCCTTTTTTCAAGACTTTCTGGGAAGGCAGCTCAGTTACAGCTGGCACCAAACCAGGTGGATTAGCAGAAACCACATGGATTTGAGGCAGGTTGGTTGTGTACAGAGGCACCTGAGGCACGGTTCCCGGGGCCGCAGGATAACTGTTAGGGGGTGCCACCACATATACAGAGTTGGCCATGGGGCCCGGAGAAGTAATTGGATTCATGCTGATGAAAAAAAAAAAAAAAGAAGAATAAATGCAATGGAAACACTCATCACTTATACACGTGTTTACATTTTAAAATGACTCCAGGAGGCTGGGGAGATTGCTCACTCAGTAGCTTCTTGCTCAAGGAGCGTTAGAATATGAGTTTGGATGTCCAGCACCTTTTATGAAAAGCTAACTGTAGGGCCAGTGAGAGGACTCAGTAAGTAAAGGCACTTGTTGCTGATGACTTGGGTTTGGACCCTGAGACTCACATGCTGAAAAGAGAGTACCGACTCCCAGAATTTGTCCTCTAATTTCCAAACACATTTAGCGGCACACGGGTGGCCATACACAGTAAGTAAATGATGTGTAATAACAAAAATTAGTAAGAATATGAACAACTTTATAGTTAATTGTCTTTATTGCCAAATGCGCCTGTGAGTTCAGAGCTGCAGCAGGAGAGGCACACCCTCTAGGCCAGCTCGTGCCAGTCTGAAAGACAAGATGGAGAGCAAAGGAGTAAGGCACCCAACATAGAACTGTGGCCTCCATACACATGAGCACAGATGTGCTTGCTCACTCATATGTGTACACGCAGGAGCACACATATGTGCACACACACACACACACACACACACACACACACACACAGGACATTAAACGCCTTAGAATAACTGAGAATGACTTTTGCTTGAGCAATTCAACCCCACATACTTGTTAATTCCATCTGAGAGACAATGTTAAACCTTCTTTAGCAGAGCTTGCCGCCTACAGTTATGATCCTGGTTTGCATGCATTAGAACTATCTGATCCTGGAGTTCCACAAGTGGAAGGACTCTTGGAAAATACTGAGTTCAATCCTCTTAGATTTTGGAAAAGGAAACTGAGAGTGGGAGAGTAGCTTTGACTTTTCCAGTGCCATGTACTTGAAAAAATGAAGCTCACTGTGCTCAAGGGAAGTCTGTTATCAGTGTAGTTTATGTGTGTATGTGTGTTCCTTGTCACACACTTGAAGGTCAGAGGATAACTGGTAGGACTTGATTCTCTCCTTCCACCATGTGGGTCCCAGATATCAGACTCAGGTTATCAAGACTTGCTTTGCCTTTAAAAAGTTATTTCCTTCTTCCATTTTGTTTTTTGGAGCAGACACAATAAAATGAATACACTATGTTCTTTTAACATCTTTCATCTACTCACATTCTCCACAGCTCATTTGGCACAAACCCCCTATCTCCATTCCCCAGCCATCAGTACAAACACTCTATCGTGTATACTCACCTTACTGTGCCTGTGGCCAGGTAATTCTCTGTTGCTCCTGTTTCCAACTCCCTGCTGCAGGCGACTGACCTCCTGAGAGAATGGCTGTTCCCTGTGCAGTTGGGTGATTCATTTAGAATAATCCAAAGTCCTCTCCACTTCTTCCTGGTTGAGGGCTAGGTCAGCAGTTGCTTAGAGCTTCCGCACCCACATTTCCTTCCTGCTTTTGTCACTAAAGCAATTAAGTAAGTTTAATCTGTCAAGGGTTTCCTGGTGCCTGAATGGAGAGATGAGGTTGTGCTGGGTGCTCTGGAAGACAAGAATGATCTGGATGTTCAGGGCCTGATGTACTGAACTGAAATAGAGGACAGGTTGACTCAATTTCATGACAAAGAGATAAGTGGTCCCAGGAGAACACAAAGAGAAGTGATTGATTGGATTTGGAGTGCTTAGATGCTTGAAATCACTGAGCTGCAATGAGAAAAGATGGAACCAAATGGGTAAAACGAAACTTACATTCACCTCCCCGTCTATATTTTTAAAGATTTATTTACTTTTATTTTGAGTCTGTGAGTTTTGTCTTTCTGTATGCTTGTCTGCAACGCGTGAGCACTGACTGTAAAGGCCAGAAGACGGCACTGGATCCCCTAGGGCTGTTACAGATGATTGTGAATCTCAGTGTAGGTGTTGAGATAAGAGCATGGTTTAGCTCCATACCCCATTTTTTAATTGGGTTACTTGATTTGTTGCTTTTTAACTTCTTGAGTTCTTTATATATACTGGATATTAGCCCTCTGTCAGATGTAGGGTTGGTGAAGATCCTTTCCCAGTCTGTAGGCAGGCGTTTTGTTTTGATGACAGTGTCTTTTGCTTTACAGAAGCTTTTTCAGTTTCATGAGGTCCCATTTATTTATTGTTGATCTTAGAGCCTGTGCTGTTGGTGTTCTGTTTAAGAAGTAGTCTCCTGTGAAGATGAGTTCTAGGGTCTTCCCCACTTTTTCTTCTAACCGATTTGATGTGTCTGGTTTTATGTTGAGGTCTTTGATCCACTTGGACTTTAGTTTTGTGCAGGGTGATAAATATGAATCTATTTTCATTTTTCTGCATATAGACATCCAGTTGGACCAGCACCATTTGTTGAAGATGCTGTCTTTTTTCCATTGGATGGTTTTGGCTTCTTTATCAAAAATCAATTTTCCATAGGTGTGTGGATTTATTTCTGGGTCTTCTGTTTGGTTCCATTGATCCACTACTCTGTTTCTATGCCAATACCATGCAGTTTTTATTACTATTGCTTTTTAGTATAGCGTGAGATCAGGGATGGAGATACCTCCAGATGATCTGTTGTTGTACTGAATTGTTTTGGAAATTCTGGGTTTTTGTTTCTCCATTTGAAGTTCAGAATTTTTCTTTCAAGGTCTGTAAAGAATTGTGTTGGTATTTTGATGGGAATTGCATTGGATTGCTTTTGGCAATCTATAGATTCAATGGCCATTTTCACTTCAATCTTCACTTAGAAAGACAAATGGGATGGACATTGGATGTAGGAGAAAACAAGTAACAGGACAGGAGCCTACCACAGAGGGCCTCTGAAAGACTCTGCCTAGCAGTGTATCAAAGCAGATATTAAGACTCATAACTAAATCTTTGGCAGAGTGCAGGGAATCATATGAAAGAAGAGGGAGTTAGTAAGACCTGGAGAGGACAGGAGCTCCACAAGGACCAAATATATCAGGGGCCTTTTATGAGACTGTTTCTCCAACCAAGGACCATGTATGGATATAAACTAGAACCCCTGCTCAGATGTAGCCCATGGTAGCTCAGTATCCAAGTGGGTTCTCTGGTAAGGGATACAGGGACTACTTCTGACATGAACTCAATGGCTGGCTCTTTGACCCCCCCATCCCCCGAGGAAGGAGCAGCCCCGGTAGGCGACAGAAGAGGACATTGCAGCCAGTTCTGAAGATTCCTGATAAGCTAGGGTCAGATGGAAGGGGAGGAGGTCCTCCCCTATCATTGGACTTGGAAAGGGGCAAGGAGATGAGGGAGGAATGGGGGGACTGGGAGGGAATGAGGGAGGGGACTACTGCCAGGATACAAAGTAAATAACCTGTGATTAATATAAAAAAATAAAAATTATATATAAAAAAAGAACACGGACCCTCTGCAAGAACAGCCAGTGCTCTTAACTACTGAGCCATCTCTCCCCTTCCTTTATTTTCATCTCACCTACAAAATCAGTACAACGCATAAGAACTTCTGCAGTGGGGCAATCAGCTCCCTGGAAACATAAGTGACACTGACTTTTTTGTTTTTTAATTCAATTGGCCTATAAAAGACACCGAATAACATCTTACTGACTGAACACACGGAGAAGAGGGACAGCTGGAGCTTTGTAAGTTGGTCCATTGAAAGGACACTATAGTCAGAGGCTATGAAGAGGGGCAAAGGCAAAGAGAGAAGAAAGCACAGGACAAACTCCGGGCAGTCTGAAAGCAGGCACACTGAGAGCAGACTTTACCCTGGCGGGCTACTTGGACCAACCACAGGGAAAGAGGATGCGCTCAGTGCTGATGTGACTTGATTTGCTGGGATGGGTGGGTGAGGGCTTCCCTTTTCTGAGGAGTATAGGGGAGGGGGATTAGGGAAAACAGGGAGGTAGGGTGGGACCGGGAGGAGAGGAGTGGGGAGGGGCTACGACTAGAATGTGAAATGAATGAATAAAAATTAAAATTAAAAAAGGATGAAAAAACATGATGCAGTCAAACCTTGCCAATACCCATTTCTATCATATTTACCCCCTAAGTCTTAAGACTAGCTTCTTCTTAGATCTTATCTGTGGAATATTGTCTCAAGATTTGGCATTTGTTTATTTTGTATGTGTTCTTATGGGGGGGGTGCATGTCTGTCTGTCTGCAGGTCAGAGGTTTATGTCATGTTTTTCTCTATTGCTCTCAGCCTAATTTTCTTTTCACTTCAAGCTTTTCTTTAGCACCTATTAGTTAAACATAATGATGAGGTTCATGCTGACAGTTTACACATTTACATACTAAATTTTGGTCATAGTCATCCCCTCATTATTTTCATATTCCTTTCATTCCTGCTGATCCCTTTCTTTTTACCAACAAGTCCACCTTCCAGTTTCATGTTTTTCTCTCTTTTTATTTTTAGTGCACGATATGTTTAATAAAGATCACATATAGAAACGCTGAGGATTTACTTACGGTTGCATGGGAACCTTACATAAGGCTACCCTGATGAAGGAAATGTCTTTCCTTCCCCCCAACAACCGTTAACTGCTCACAGGTCCCCAGGAGTGATATGGCATAATGAGCTCCTCCTGCCCAGTTGCTTTATTTTTAGAGACAGGGTCTCACACTGAATCTGAAGCTTACTGATCCCACTAGTCTGCCTGGTCAGTGAGCTCTGGGCATCTAGTTGTGGAGTGGCAGGAGAACGCTGCTTCATCTAGATCCTTTTTTATGTAGGGGCTGGAGAACTGAACTCAGGTCCTCATGCTTTCTCAGTAGGCATTTTGCTCACTGATCTATCCCCCTGGCCCCAGTGATTGTATTTTGACTCATTAAAATTTTTTATTCCTAAAAAAAAAAAAAATAAAAATTCACATTTAAAATGTATTAATTTTTTTATTACTTAGGATTCTGAGTTGCAGAATACTTTTCAAAAAAAAATTCTTCTCTTATACAATTCATCCCAACCACAGTTTCTTCTCCCTCCATTCCTCTCCCCACCTACTGTCTCCCCCAGATCCACTCCTTTTCTATTTCCCTTAAGGAAAGAGTGGACCTCCCAGTGATCTTAACCAAACCCAGCATAAGCAGTTACAGTAAGACTAGGCACATCCCCTCATCTTACGACTGTGCAAGATAACCCAGTAGGAGGAAAGGGGTTCCAAGAGCAGGCAAGAGTCAGAGACGTCTCCACCCCCACTGTTAGGAATCTCAAAAAACACCAAGCCAACAACCATAACATGCTGAGGACCTAATGCAGACCCATGCAGGCTCCAGGATCACTGCTTCCGTCTCTGTGAATCCCTGAGCCCTGCTTAGTTAATTCTATCGTCTGTGTTCTTCTGGTGTCCTTAACCACTATGGCTCCTACTGCTTTTGCCTCTGCCTCTTCTGTGGGATTACCTTAGATGAGAGGGAAGGGACCCAATGGAGATCTCCATTGTGAGCTCTCTCTGCACCTAATATTTGGCTGTGGGTCTCTGTATCTGCTCCCATCAGTTGCCAGAGGAAGCCTCTCTGGTAATGATTGGTCTAGGCACTGATCTATGAGTATAGCAGAATATCATTAGGAATCATTTTACTGATTTTTTTCTATTGTAGGTCTCTGTCCAGCCTCCACTTCCTGGTCATCCAGGTAGTGTCAGGCATGGGCTACCTTTTCTAGTGTGTGCCCCAAATCAGAGCAGTCGTCTGGCCATTCTCACAAGTTCTGCACACATCCTGAAGGTAAGATAGATTGTAGGTTTAAGGTTTTGTGGCTGAATCGGTGTCCCAGTCTCGCTAATGAAAGTTGCATGGTTACAGAAGATGGATGGTTTAAGCTCTGTATCCTCCATTGTTAGGGATCCTCGCTAGGGTTACTTTCATAGCATCCTGGGAGTTTCTACTGCATGAGGTTTCCACATCATCCCTCAAATGCCCTCCAATTCCAGGGGTCTCTCCTTCTAACCCTTCCCCTGCCACCTGATCCCTTCTGTCTCCATTACCACCTCTCCCCATTCTACTTGAAAAATCTATTCTATTTCCTCTTCCCAGGGACATCTATGTATCATCTCCCTTAGAGCTCTCCTTGTTACTTAGCCTTTCTGGGTCTGTGGATTCTATCATGATTATCATTTACTTAACAGCTAATATCCACTTAAAAGTTAGTACATAGCCTATTTGCCCTTCTGGGCTGGGTTATCTCACTCAGGATGATTTTGTCTAGTTGCATCTATTTGCCTGCAAATTTCATGATGTCATTGTTTTTTGACAGCTGACATAATACTCGATTGTATACATATACCACATCTTTATTCATTCTTCATTTGAGGGACATCTTGGTTGTTTGCAGTTTCTGATTATTATAAAAAAAGCCTCTATGAAC